GAAGGACTCAGACCTGTGTGAGACCCTGTCTCTGCAGGACTCAGACCTGTGTGAGACCCTGTCTCTGCAGGACTCAGACCTGTGTGAGACCCTGTCTCTGCAGGACTCAGACCTGTGTAAGACCCTGTTTGCCCCTGCAGGACAGCTGTCACCACCCTCAGCTGGATGCAGATGTGGAGGCAGTCAGGACTCTGTATTCAGACTCAGCTGTCTCTGTCAGGTGAGCATCTCTCACCACATCACAGAGAAAAGCAGAACCCCTGCTGTTTTTATAAACTTCTCCACTCTTCTCCTGTCAGGGACTACCCATCAATTGATGGTGTGGACGTCAACTTGAATATTAAAACAGACTTTCTGGATGTAAGTCAAACCTACTTTACTGATAAAAAAATATTCTTTTTCTGATCCTTAGAAAAGCTAATTTATTTTAGAAAGTTTTTAATCCTAGAAAGGTGAATTTATACTGTATTGTTTAGTTTTGAAGCTTAAAGCTGCAGTCTTTCCCCCTCCACACATGCTCATCATCATCAGGTGGACGTAGCTAAAGCCTGGAGGATTAACCAATCAGAGCCCATCGTTATCCGCCTGCACTTCTCCATGTCTCTGTATCTGGATGGACCCGGTGAGAGCAGCAGCTTCCCTGCAGACAGAACTCTTTATAACTCAACATGACATTTAATAATTAATTCAGCTAAATGATATTTCCCTCTGCAGCTCCCTCTGTTGAAGTCTTCCAGCCGTCTAATGTGGATCAGTTCAGCGTAGGGAGGCAGCTGCAGCGGTGAGTATTCACTCTTTAACTCATTATAATCAAACACAGCACACTTCATCATGATCAACTTGTTCCTCAGTCTTATTACAGTCTTTGTAGCTCAAGAGTGGAAACATCTGATGAACAACGACGCCGACGTCCGGCCAAAAAGCCAACACAGCTGGTTCAGACCCAGCGGGACCATCAAGAAGTTCAGTGCACGACTCAGCATATGGCTGCCGCTTGCAAAGTACGACAAAGCAGATTCTCCTGATGATTTCCATGGATTTGTTTGGTTAATATTCATCTCTTATTTACCGCAAACAGGCAAAATGAGATCCAGGATCCAGCTGTAAGAGGAAGAAAAAATTTACCAGCAATAAAACAAAAGTGTTTCCCAACTCTGACAACTTCCTACCCCATCAAGAACCCGGCTGGAGAGCTTTTTACATACACAGCTGATGAAAAGGTTGGGAGTCTGTTTGTTTTGAGAAGAAAAACCTAAAAGGTGTTTGTTACACCAAAGATTAGCTGGAGTTTTGTGGTTTAAAATGAAATAAATCATTTAGAATTTATTTTGCTAATATGGAGCTAAATTGGTGTTGTAAAGTTTGTTAAAAATAATAAAAATAATTTAAACTGAAGCATATTTTTGAATCTGAAAGCAAAACTGAAACTGAAAAAAAAAATGTTTAAAACCGCTTGTCAGATTCTGCAGAGGATTTTTTTCAGTTTCAGATTTTTTCATTTATTTTTTACAATTACAAACTTTTGGGCGTGTTTTGTTGTGGGGGCGGGGCCTTAGATGAAAGGGGGTGTGGAATTATGACTGACAGTTCAACACAGCAGCTGGACAAAATACGTATTTCCAGCTGTCGCATTCAGGAACCTCAGAAAACTGGAAATGCCTTTGAAACATAATCAATACTTTATGTTTACACATTTTTTTTACATGTTTCATTGATATTAGCTGCTTATATCAACACATCATCAACAAATCATATAAACATAAATTTTTTTAGTTTCAAATCTTTTTTTTTCAGTTTCAACAAAAGTGTTTTTTTATGACTCCAATTTAGCTCCATAAGTTTAAAGCTCTAACAGAACATTTGCCCTTGGATTGATAGAAAGTGGTGGTTTCAGCTGTGAAGTCGTCGGTTCAGCTGAGCACCAAACAGCTGGTGGAGCTGCTGTTCACCTCTCAGACAGTCAGACTCTATAAAAGCTCACCGACTCTGCAGCACGGCTTCCTGGTGCAGGTACAGTCAGGCTCTGTAAACCTGTAAACATGATTAAAATAACTGCACAGCTGCAGTCACTGACAAAACTATTATTAGATTTAGGCTTTTTAATTTTTTTTATCCTTCATCATATCTATAGATTTTCTCAATAAAAGCCTTTGACTAGTTTGTCATGATTTTGTTTTGAAATTGAGCACAATTATACAGCAAAAAGCTAATTATAATTCCATCAGATTTTTAGCTGATGTGTCTTGAATGTGGAAAAACTTTTTCTTTTTTTCCGTCTTCTGGCACAGATAATGAGGTACGTGGAAAAGAGGATCCCAACGCTGAGTGAATTCTGTGTCATCTGTGATGAGCGACACGTCTTTCAAAACAGCCCCATGCTGAAGGTAAAACCCACAGACGAAAAGAATAAAACCTGTGAATGCAGATAAAACACAGTAAGTGTGTGTGTGTGTTTGCAGACAGCAGTTTGCACCAGGGAGCTGTGTGTCTTTTCGTTCCACACACTGGGTGTGATGTCTGGAGCTACCGAGGAGGTTGCAACCGGAGCGGAGGTCTCTCACCCTTCTCACAGGTGGTTTTTAGTGATTACAGAGAAGAACAGTTCAGAGTTGTAGTGATGTCTGCCCTCGCAGGTGATCGACCTGTTGGTCGCCATGTGCAGGGCTGCCCTTCAGTCGTCACGTAAAAGCATCATATTTGAACCGTACCCCTCTGTCGTCGATCCGTGCAACCCCAGAACTCTGGCTTTTAGTCCGAAGGTATCCACTGAATGTTGTTACTGACCAGAATAATAAGATGTCCATAAAATAATAGTTTGTTTTTTTCCTTTTAAAACAGAAAAAGAGCTATGAACGGCTGCAGAGAGCTCTGGATGGTGTCTTGTTAGTCAGGAGGATGGCACAGGTTTGTAAATAAAGAACATTTGAGTTTTCTGTTTAAAGGCACAGTGTGTAGGATTTTGTCAATTCTTTTAGCCGAAATTGATTTGATTTGATTTGATTTATTGATTCAACAGGAAAAAATTACTAAAAATCAAGCCTGACTCAGCATAATTGCTGTTTTACAGCAGGTTCC